GATGGAGGAATTGGTTTTCCATCTGTCCATAGGAAATCTGCACATAGTCTATAGTGTATGGCCAGCTTTAGGCTTCTCACGCAGGTATTGTGCCTTGCAATGCGGAGGGAAAACATAGTTCTATGTGCCAATGGAACAGGAGGTCAGAATCCCCACCCCACAGCATACGAGTAAATGACCATATCAGGGAATGTATAGGGTCCACCTTTCCAGAAATGGCTTCTTGTAGCTTTCAGAAACTTTGCTGTTAAGATTTATACATCTGAATTCCCAGTTCGGCCTGCTTAGTGCCACCATTATAAAGGGAGTCTCATTCTCCCTTTTGGAAAGTTTACATCCTGATGAATGCAATAGGAGAACAGAGACTCCCTAGCTCAGAGGCTGTGGTGGGGAAATAAGATATTCTTGCCCAATCATTTAGTTTCTGAGTTCCTGAGAGATACAAGGAGCCAGTGGCTGAATAATCTCGCCATGGTCTAACCACAGCTGAAATATGTGGTTGGGTCAACTGACCCTTCAGTCGGTAGTCAACTACATTGGCCGCAATGTCTCCTGCTCTTCTTCTTCTCCTAATTCACCAGCTGCTTCTGTAGGGTGCTCTGGCCCAGTGCATTCTGGGTAAGGTGACCATAGGTGTGTCCGTACTGATACTTGTAGCCTGCAGAGTGAAACAGAACATAGTCATCTTGGCTGCAATTGTCATCGGCTTCCATGGCAGATCAGTTTTATTGAACCATATCTCTATATTGTTATATATAGATTGTCCTCTTGTCATGTAAGCCTCTAATTACATAATCCCCCAATATGTAACTACCCCGTCCCCTCTGCATAGCATGTTTATCTTATCCCCGGTTCACAGCGACCTTACTGTTCGATATCCCGATGAACACTCGGTCAAAGCCATAAAAGCAAAAAGCAGATTCCACAGATAATGAATTCTTGGCATAATTTTTCCTGGAACAGAAGTTGTAGTTTATTGTGCCCATGCTGTGATTAGTTAGTCCAAAGTTCCAGGTGTACTTTAAGCTCCACCCATTCTTTGCCAGCACCACATACACACCTTGCTATTCGCTCCTCTGCCAGAAGTGAAAGGGTTGTGTAATCCCCATGGGGCTACTTGGACCTTACACAGGGCTAAGGACTCATTGCCCACCCCCATGTGACAGCGCTGGGTGCCAGAATGGCCAATCCCCAAGCACCAGTGCTGTCACATGGGAGGGAGTGAGTCTTCCTCTTTGCTCCCAGCAGCTGAGAAGCGAAGAGGAAGCAAGTACTGCTGGCGGTGTTGGCATTGTAGTGGACCCCTTTTGCTTTGCCCTGCAAATGCATGATCAGTCCTGGTGGAACATCCAATTGAATTTTAGCACATCAGTTTTTTTTTTGTTGGGTCATACAGCCGTTTATGAGCCAAAGATCATTTGAAATGATCAAAGCTATGATTGATCGATTGTTTATAATGACGTGCATGACTAACATAAGATCAGCTTAGACTTGTTAGGGTCAAGGTTTTAGGGAATCAAGTTAAAGTGGAAATGAACCTTCTAACCCTATACAGCCAAAGACGGCGCCATCTTGGCCTCTATTTAGATGTGCAATTGCACATGTGGTCAGTTATTGCACCGGTCATTTGTGGGCTTCAATGTTCAATTGATAGCTGACATAAGCTCACTGGCAACTGTGACAGTTATGACTGAGGTATGCCATGAATATAACTGTTTTGGAACGCAGTAAATCAGAGGGGTTTAGTTCTTTAAGTAGCCTCATTCACACACAACGCAAGCAAAATTGTATATTGCG